CTCGTGCGCGCTAAGCCTTATTTTTATTTTTATTTTTAAACCTTTCGAGTCTATTATTATACTCCTATAATACTATGTACGGAAACCTATTAGAGGCGAAAGTACAGAACTTGGAAGCATACGAGAACCTTGCGAATGTGGCGGTACCTTTTATATAGAAAAGTCGTGTATGTTGCATGACCTTTCATCTACTACCATTACTTCTGCTAACATGTATTTAGTATTTAGTAACGGAAGTATTCACATAGACTAAGCATAATTTTTGGGATTGCGTAAGGCTAGGGCTTTGCAGGATGAAAATGCCATTTCTGCTGTGAAATGGTGGGTGGGTGGGCGACGGATGTTGTCAAGTTTGTAAAGTATAATATTAAGGCCTACAGGACAGATAATACCGAGCTCCTGTTTACCCTTTGATTATATTTCTTCCTAGGGATCCTCTAAAATACAAATGCTCATGTAACAGTCTCGAGCACTGGAACACCCTAGAAAAGAGCCTCTGGGATAGGCAAGGGCTTGGATCATTCAGCTAGAGGGGCTTGTGAGTTAGTACAACAGGTTCAACCAAAACACCCGTACGATCTACTCTCCGGGCGGGGGATGTTTCAATTACGACAAAGGTCAGAACTTCACCATAAAACCGCCCAATTCCACACTATGTACCTTCCATGTTCGCTATTCAGCTCAACAGAAATAAAATTCCAAACTACAAAGAACAATAAAGGGTTGGAATCAGCAGCTCCTCGAATCGGTAGCCTATTTCTCTCCATTCTTAGCCATACGAATGAAGCACTGCTCATAAGCCTCATGAATTTCGGGGACCGTGTAGTTGTATTCCTTGAGCTTGTTGACGAGCTTGGTGGAGTCAAGTTCACAGTTAGACCTGCCAGCCTTGATAACCTTACTCTGCTCCTCAACAGAGAAGTTCTTCCATTCAAAAGAAGGGCGGACATGCTTCTTGAACAGAGCAAGAACTTCGTTGTGCGAAATAGCGCCAGGGTTGGTCTAAAAGCGGAATAAATTAATGAGGTTCATGAAGCTGTTAGAGAAACCTCACAAAGTTATAAACTCCAAGCTCATTGTTCTCAGCAAGAATGATGGACGCCGGAAGGAGGTCTGTGAGGATTGTGTTTGACTAGAATACTGGTTAGTTCATGGTGATCCGCTGCAACATAAGGGGCACTTACGTTAGGGATATCAACAACTCGGTCATATTTGGTAATCTTAGTAACAAAGTTTCTTCCGTGCAAGTCATCCGAAACGGGCATCCTAAGTCTAAGGATCAAGACATTGGGATAGTGGATCAAGATCTGGGGTTACAATTAGCAGATTGGGTTTTGGGGGGATTAATCGAGAACAAACCTCCTCAACCCTGGACTTGGTAGCCGAGTAGAAAGATCCATCAAAGTTCGCTGGATCTTCCTCCTTGAAACTTGCGCCACCAATGGGATGCTTATCGTCGTAGTGGTAAACGCATCCGGTGGCAAACACGGTACAATGGATTTTTCTCAAGAAACAGCAATCGGTCAGGTTCAAGGTACCAATCACATTAGAACGAATGGTAGCCTCCTTGTTATCCTCGCACCAATCGACATTAGGTCTTCCGGTGCAACCAGCAGCGTTGAGAACATGGGTAGGCTTGACCTCATCAAGCAGCCTGGGAACCATGAGCCACAACGTTCCCCTCCACGAAATCAAAACCCGGGAACGGTGGGGAACGTCAACTTACTTTAGAACGGATTCGCGGTCTTCCATTCTCACAGTTGTGGTCAGAACCTCTTTGCCCTGACTTTCGAGAATTGTCTTCAAGTGGCCAGCAACCCATCCATTTCCTGACATTCCTGGTTAGCACTAATCTAACTGTCAAGAAAAACGTTTTTCCTCACCTCCCCAGACCAAAAATTTGTGTTTTGGTGTTGCGAGAGCCATATTGTTAATAAACAAGATACAGGGCGGAGGAAAAAAAGATATTTGGAGGAGCAAGTGATCAATTGATGAGAGCGAGGAGATGGTTGAGAAGGAAGAATAGGGTAAGCGGGGAAGGAGCGGAGCTGTCAGAGGAAGGTTCTGGGGTCTAGTGCGCGGCAGAATAGCTCACACAAGGTGGGAAGGGGGGTTGCTGGTTGTCAGGGACTTGGCTGGTATCATGCTAAATTTTTTCCTACTAAAAGCAGGGTAACCTAAATCCAATGTCCCAACAAAATTACCAACAAACAGATGATAATTACTGTTTTAACTTTATATCCTGCAATTACCGGTACTCGTATTGACATCATGAAAACAGTAATAATTGAGCTAGATGCCTAAAGGGTGCGGAATTACCCATCCTTAGAGGGTAATTATTCTAGAAAAAAGCCGGCTTTTGCCAGACCTAAGTATGGCACCTCAGGTACCT